ATATATATATATATATATATATATATATATATATATATATAGCATCACTAACCATTACACAACCATAATCAATTTCCCAGGCACCTCCCACCCAACATCCCCGAGGATTGCTACTATTTTGAAAAAGCAGAAAGCAACTGCAGCTGAGGATGTAGAGAAAATGGAATCCTTGTGGACTGATGATGAAAACGTGAAATGGTTAGGCTTTTGTAGAAAACAGCGCCACAGTTTCACCAAACCATTAAAAATACCATTGGTTCCAGCAACTGTATTCGTGTGAGCCAGCTAGAGTAGTCAAATTTATAGAGAGAAAACAACTAAAATTGTGCTTTCAGGAACTGAGGAGAAGGAGGAATAGGGGTCAGTGTTTAAAAGGTACAGTGACAATGCACCAGCTTGGAGAGACGGAAAGAGCCTGTGTGTGGATGACAGTGATGTTTCCACTAGAGTGTAAATGTGCACAGTGCCCGGAATTCTACACTTAAAATGGACAAGATGCTCAACTTCACGGTCTTATTCATTATGATAAAAAATAAACAAGAATCCTAAGCCATACTGAGCAAAGAAAACAACAGAAATTTTATGCAAGTATGTTAGGCACAGAGTTTGCCTTAATTGCAAAGACACTAGGAGATAACTAACCCAGATGGCAAATAATGGCATTAATCGCTCCAGAGGTTGGAGCTCTCAGAACCTATTTACTTCTTAAAGCACACACCTCTCAACATGGCTTACACTGAGAATTGCTTTCCTAACACAAGCTCATGAGGGTACATATCCAATCGTAGTACTGCGCTTCACCCACGTTAAACTTACCAGGAAAACTTGACTAAAAACAATTGCTTTATTTATTTCACCATGTGGCTAAGATTTCATCATGACATTTTAAGAAATTTGTAAACATGAATTAAAGCTGTGATTTAATTACTTGCTAATGAAATCAGGAAATAGCAAAGGAAAGTGCACTTACCTGGCATGACTCAGGCCTAGGATCAATGACAAGAAAATAAAAGAAAGCAAAATGGAAATGGTACCACTAAACTCTAGAGTTACAAAGATGTATGACGATAAATTTCATGCTTTTTAACCACAATCTTCAATACATGAATTGAAAGAAAACGATATGAGGAGAACAAATAAAATCAGGGAATGCATTGAACTGAATTTAAGAATAATTTCATAAGTTTACATAAAACATTTCTACCTAAATCTGACACGGTGCATCTGCTCATGCGAGTGCATTAGAAGTGTATAATGTCACCTTCTAGGATGCACAACCAGTTACAACAGCACTTATGAGTCAGAGGGAAGAAGATCTTGAATTTGAGCCCCTCTGGGACCACAGGGAGAGAGACCTTGCTCAAAAATCTAGGGGATAAGGCCGGGGAGTTAGCTCAGTGGTTATGCCACCTGATGCGCAAGCGCAAGGACCCGAGTTCTTCGATCCCGATCCCAGGTACCAAAAAAAAAAAAAAAAAAATCAATCTAGGGTATAAAACTATGAACACGATTGAGATTCTAAATAAATCTAAATTCGTGAGAACCCATTAACTGTTAGATCTTAACCATCTCCTTTCAAGAGCTCAGAAAGTGTAAGATCAAATACACTATAAAACACACAACGCGTCAGTTGGTGGGTCTGTGTCCAAATCAGCTCAGAAATGTAGGGAAAAGCCAGGCATTCCTAATCTGGTCAGAAATAATCCCATTGGCAATGTCCAAAACCAAGATTCTCCTGCAGATAAAATTCTGTGTATACCTTGACTTTTCCAAGTTTCTCACTTTGTTAAGAGATTCCTATTTTGAGTCTCAGGCTGCAGTGAGGAGAGCTGTTCTCCCCTAAGAAGCTGTCTCTTCACCTTCCGTGGACGGGAGAAGGGAACTCAGATGCGGGCAAGGCATGGCTGCTGAGCACAGATCATGGTAAAATCCCTCCCCAGTTAGTCTTCTCTTTGAATTGTATACCCGATTAGCTTCCGTGGATGGGAATGATTTATTTGGGCTGGGCCCGGTCCCACAATTTACAAAAAGGCTCCCAGACAGTCATGGAAAGAAGGGTCAGTAATTTTAATAAAAGTCTTTCCCACAGAAGCAAGCCCCAGGTGAACTGACCGATTTTGGATCACATTTCCTAAATGCACTCACAAAGGCATCTTCTCAGAGACTCCTACTCCACAATCCCCGGTCCACCAGCCCTAGACAGCCATGTGGTGATGTGAGATGTCCCTAGCCTGCTGGCCTGGTTAAGTTGGGTTTTTGCTTTTGTTTTTGCAATTTATTTCTTGTTTTTTCCTACTTCTGAACTAATCCGGGGCCTCCTCACTGAGCTACATCCCCAGGCCTTCCTGCATTTTCTAGACAGGTTCTCCCTGAGTCACTAAGTTGGCAGGCACGGCTCTACCTCGAGGTTCTCTGGCCTGAGTTTTTAAGACATGAAAGCCCAACCCCTACAAAACACTAGCACACCAGGCAGCCAGGCTGCCCCAAACACAACACATTTCAGCTTTCCACCAAACAGTTTACCTTTCGAAGCCATGTCAAATGTGCGTGGTACGTGGTCTCTGAGAAATACCGCAGTGCTGGAGGAATACAGCAATCCGTGGGCACACCAACTCCTCTCCTTGTCTGAGGCCAGGAGAATGAGGAATCAAAGCAGGCATGGAAGCAGAGCTCTTTAAACACCTTGCTTAAATCCCAAGCACACCCTGCCAGCCCCTCCCACTCACACCTCCACCCTCAAGTGTCCTGGGGCAGCCTCCACCCACTTACACCTCCAGGAACACCAGGCCAGAGGCTGCAGGCACCACCCACTAAACTGCTACAGTTCCTGGCCTAGGGCTGTCTCCACCCACTCGCAGCTCAGCCCAGATAGGGCCTGGGGCGGTCTCCACCCATTCAGACCTCACCCAGTCACAGCCCTCCCAGTTACAGCCCTACTTTAGACCAGAATCTACTACCATACCCTTCTCTGCTGGTTTTACCAATTTGACCTTCTCAAATTCTATCTCCCATTCATTGAGCACCCACTGAAACTTACATCCTGTTTTTTTGGTTTTTTTATGAAAAGCCTAGAGCAAGGAAGGTTCTCTCCCCCCCCCCCCAGTACTTGTATTTGGTAGGTCATATGTTCGTAGCTTGTGGGAAATTGATACATGTAAATAATATATCTTTTTTGGTTTACTTTGAGAGCTATTGCTCCACTTGTGTGTGGCAGAAAAATGAGATTTCAGCCTATTTTTTGTGCATTTTTAATTTTCATGATGAGTCTTCTTCTTATCAAGGGACAGAGACCAGGTAATTTGGCCCTGAGAAGAAAACTATGCGGACACAACTGCTTTCAGCGGAGATGCCTGCCACTCCATTCCCTGGTACCCTTCCCCTGAGAGACCCTGGAGCTGGTGGCTCCGGGCCTGCAGGAGGAAAGGAAGGGCTCACCTCACTGGAAAGACCTCACTGTGACATCTACGTGACTGCTCAGATGTTACTGTGCAGAAAGCAGCCCGGCTGGGTTTTTAGTTCACAGGACTGTCTCCTTCCTGATTTTTGGATTTTTGTTTTGTGGGGGGTTTTTTTTAGAAGGAAAATAACATAAATTGAAAAGTGAAGTCTCAACCACCATTATTTGCCTTCGTAACAAAAATCTTTCCTCTTTTTCTGGACATTATTATTCTTATACAAATTAAAAAGGAAAATATTTTGTAATGTTTTCAAACTCTGTAATGGTAAAAAGTGTAAGAATTTAAAGGTTTTTTTTTAAAGACTCCTATAATTTTCCAAAAGAATGTTTTAAAGTATTTCATCTAAAATCAAATGCACCAGGGATATAGCTTAGCAGCACAGTGCCTGCCTGGCAAGCATGCGATCCTGAATTTGATCCCTGGTGCCAATAAAATAAAATCAAATCAGATGCATTGGGGGCCGGGGATTTAGCTCAGTGGTTTCGCCACCTGCTGCGCAAGCGCAAAGCGAACTCATGGGTTCGATCCCCGGTACCAAAAAAAAAAAAAAAAGAAAGAAAAGAAAATCAGATGCATTGACTGAATTTACAGAATAGGGAGAAAATAATCAGTTCATTAATTATTTATACTGGAAAAAGTTATTCCTGTCATTTTATGTGGTCAGCTTTAGTGTTTATAAAAGTATGATATTTTGTATTTTATAAAGGTGTAAAAGAAAGTATAAAATAAATAAAATGTATTTATCAGTACATGCTTACAGAACATAATGATTATATTTATTTTAATTCCTTTTTTATTCCCCTTTACATTTCCTCCCTCCTCCCTGTATCCATCTTTAGATCTCCTTCCAATTTACCATTTGTTCTACATGTGTTCGGTACATAATATTTATATTCCTTGTGTGATATTTGTGCATGCACAAATTCTATCCCAGTTCCACTTTTTTAGTGCCTTTCCCTCCTCTTTGCACTCCCCTCCCTTCATCTTCTGATCCCCTTGACCTTTGAAAAGATCTATCTTCCTACTTCCTATGATCTACTTTTTATTTTGGTCTTTATTTATACTTTGGGTTTCTCCTATAAGAGAAGCCATGCATTATTGAAGCTCGTGGGTCTGATTTGTTTCCCTTAACATTATAGTCTCTAGGAAGCTTATATTCTTACTTAAATCCTACCCGAACCTTTGAATGTCAATAGTTAGGTATGCCCATTTTGACTTTGAGCACTGGGACGTTTTGACCCCAGGCTGAGCCCCTGACACCAAACATCATGCTTGTGGCCATCACACTAGTGTATTATGAGCCTGGATGGCTCATAAGTGATGCAGGTGACTCAATTTTCCTGTGCAATTCAGAGGAACCACAGGTTGGCAATACGGACCTTATAACACATAAGACTAGTATTTTTATGGACAATAGATGACTTAATTTTTATTTATGGCACTATGGACTGAACTGAGGGCCTTCACCTTTAGCTAGATCACCAGCCCTTATTTATTTTTTATTGTGAGACTGAGTGTCCTTAAGTCACAAATTTTCTGAGGCTGAGTCAAGAATTATGCATTGCAATCAAGTACCAAAAAAGGGAGGATGAAGAAAAACATGACAGGAGGAGGGAGGGAAGAAAAAGAGGGTAAAAATAGAACTAAGATGTATTATATACATGCACGGTTATGGCTTGTGTTTAGATTTCCCCGAAGAGCCTCTTGTTTTTTCAGAGAAGGCTGAATCTGGAATGTGTGATGCTGGGATTAAGGGCATGTGGTTACTAAACCACTCCACTGGAGTGATTAACATGGCACCACCCTAATCCTGGTATTCTGGATTTGGTAAAAGAGGCAGCAAGAGGCTGTTATGGTCCCCTGTTGCTTTGCTATGGTGTGGGGGCCATGAATTGTGCTCATCTGTGACACCCCTCTGGCATGTATCACTCTGCCTTGGAGCCAGCTGATTATGGACTGAAACCTCTACAAACTGTGAGCTAAATAAACCTTCCCTGTTTAACCTTGGGTGTCACATATTTTGCCTTAGCGATGAGAGAAAATTAACTGATACACTTACCAATTTCCCACGAGGAATCTAGGCATATACTAAAGACATGCAGTAATAAAAAAGGAGAGACCCTGCCTTGCCCTGGTGTTCTCAGCATCTGTCAAAAAAAGTAAAAGCCTGTAAATTTCAGAGGGTGCTCAATGGATTGGAAGGTAGGATTTGCACAGGTCAGCTTGGTAAAGACAGCTGAGTGGGGCTGTAACTGGGCAGGCTGTGACTGGGTGGAGTGTGAGAAGGTGCAGACTGCCTCAGGCTGTGTCAGGCTGGTGGTGTGAGGAGGCAGAGACTGCCCCAGGCCTTAGGTGGGTGGAGGTGTGAGGGTCAGGGCTGTTAGGGTGTGTATAAGGTGGGCCCTCTCAGGAAGGCATTTAAGGAGCAGAGCTTCAGAATGCATATTTCCAAACTCTGCCTACCTCGCACTACGGTAGAACTTGGTGTACGTGTGGATTACGTTACTCCTGGACTGAGATATTACTGAGGGACCACACACTGAGTGTTTGACATGGCTTCAAATGGTAAACTGTTTGGTGGGAAATTGAAGAGGGTGAGCGCGTGGCAGTCTTTCTACCTTACGCTACTCTTTTGTAGGGGTCTGGGCTTTTATCTTTTAAAAACACAGGCAGAAGAATATGAAATTACAGCCCTGAGTGGATAGTTAATAACTTAGGGAGAAAATGTCTAAAAATATAAGAAAGGCTGGGTGTTGTAGCCCAGTGGGAAGGCCCTGGATTAGTTCCTAAGGATCTAAAATAAATAAATATCGCAACAGAGGAAAAGAAGCAATAGCAGGCTTGGGCAACCCATTTCACTGGGGTGACTCTCAATGGATGCTGGACAGGGTGTTGTGAACTAGGACTTGCCAAGAAACAATTAATTTCATTAACTCCCCGTTTTCAGGTCATTTGAGTTGTGAACACTCACAGACAAATTGAGCTCACATTGGGAACATTCGTAGATGCAAACAAATTGCAGAAGTAGCTCACGTGTCTACCTTACCACCTTAAAGTAAGCTTGAGTGTAAAAATAGGGTATTTACAATTGTACTGTAGTGTACCACCATTTTAAAGTAATTGAAAGGAAGAATAGTTTATTTACAGGATTTGTGTGTGTGTGTGTGTGTGTGTGTGTGTGTGTGTGTGTGTGTGTCTGGAAATTTTATGCTTCACATTGTATATTTGTGTCCAAGGTTTATAAAACTCCCTCTGTCAGACTGATGGTTGGAGCTCAATCATACATCAGAGACCTACTGGAAAACGAACTTATGCTTATGATATAAGGCGTGAGCAAAATATGTGTTGCATTTCTAAATTTAAAAAGTACTACAGAAAGTGACACATTGCCATCAATCTCTTTCAAAATATGGGCCCTTGCTCGAACACACTTATCCTTTCTTCTCACTTACTGAAGTATTTCTGGAAGTCTTTTGTTTTGCATGTGTTTAGTTAGTATAATCAAGAAAAGGGGTGACTATTCCTGGAGACTGCCATCGCCAGGATAGGGAGACTTGTTTGAACATGTCTGAAGCTTCTTTCCATCATTACCTTCTTCCCCTCTCTGTAGGATGTGACAAGGCCTCAGCACAGATGGAATTTACCCATCCCCCTGGGGCTAGTGTTGTGTAGTCATCATCTTCACCTCTTAGTCTTCACTGAAGAGACATTTAAGTCAAACTAAGGGAGGACACTTTCCTTATTTGTGCTCACAAGATGCCCTGTCCTCATCTGAGTTTGCCTTCTCCCCACATGGAGGCTGAAATACCTGTCTTTTGGGGGAGGGAAACTGTTCTCACTGGGCATTGTCAGTGCAGGATGAGGCTCGAAATACGAGTCATTTTCAAATTGAGGAACATCTTTTAAGGAGGCAATTTAGAAATGTCAGTGTATATACAGTGACTGCTCTGGGGACACCTGGATTTTTGGTGTGTTTTTGTTGGTACCGGGGATTAAACTCAGGACCTTGCGCTTTTGAGCCAGGCACCGGAACCACTGAGCTAAATCCCCGGCCCGACACCTGGATTTTTACCCACAATGCAGAGATGATATGGGTAGAGAACGAGGTAGACTGGGAAATATCTTCCCAATGCTCTGTGGTGCTCACCCTTGTTACCTCCCATAGAACCAAACATAAACAAAAATGACTTGTGATGTTTTTATAATGCGTTTGATCTTGTACTTTCTGAGATCTAGCAAGGAAATGGTTAAGATCAAATGCTTAATGTGTTCTTACAAGAATTTATATTTCTTTGAAATCTGAACCTTTTTCACAGCTTTTTTGGAGCAAGATCTAGCTATGTAGTCCCAGCTGGTCTCACACTTATAATCCTGTTCCCTCAGACTGCACCTGTCTAGCAAACATTGTAGAGCTCTGATCCACTCATGTTAGCTCACGTCCAGTGTCATGTTTAGGTACAAATGCTTTATTTATACTTGTACAAAATATTATTCACACCGAGAATTCAATGAATTCCTTTGTTTTATTTGTTCTCCCTCTCCTTTCATTTTCTTTCAGTTCATGTATTTTATTTTTTTTTTTATTTTTTATCAAGAAAATTGAAAATTGATTTTCTGAACAAACTAATAAAATTAACAACCAATGGTGAAGAAAAATGAGGAAAGCAAAATTTACCAATATCAAGGCAACATCACTGAATCAATTACAATACCTATTGAAATGCAAATGTTATGCAAAGAGTTGCTACACTGTATTGTCCATAGTATAAGGAGAAGAAATGAAACCTGTGCACATTCAGCACAGGTGAAATTTTTATAAAGTACTTTCAGTCCACATGATTGAATTTGTAAATACAGATGTCCAGATATTGAGGACTAACTGTACAGGTACCCATTCTTTTTTTAACTCATCGATAAATTTTTCT